AAAGCAATAATACATAGATATACTGAGAAAATTTTAATTCTTATTATATCGTTGTATATGTATACATATATATGAGTACATAAACAAAGTCTTTGTGCATATTCTGTTGGTTTATATAAGCTATACAATTAAATTTTTACAATCAAAAAGAGAAATATCTGTCCAGAACTTCTGTTGTATTCTTGACTAACTGCAAAATAAAACATGTAATCAAGTCTGAATCTGGAGGCAAAAGAGATCGGTCAGAGGAGTGGTGTTTAACATCAACTATATTGCTGCTTCCATGTCAACACCACCCAAAAGAATTTTATGAACTCTTCAGGTGGCTCCCTATAAAATATATTTCATTATTTATTTATATATAGGATCTGCTGCAAATACGTTGCTGATTTAAAATTCTTCTTAAGATGATACTTTAACATTCTTGGCCATCATAGCCTGAGTTTAAAATCAATGCTTAAGAACAACAACCAATTTTGACAAAACTTTGTATTTAGTGCTAAAATAAAAAAACAAATAATTTGAGGATCTTAAAACTTACTAATATATGAACAGTTGCAGTAGTTTGTGTGGAATGTCTTTTTTTTTAAGTATTCTACCTATATATCCTGAAAAACCCACCCACCATAAAATGACTACTTAATACTTTGAATCACTCACAGGAATCCAATCCAATAGGACACCTCTGCATAACAATGAATGCCTCAATAGTTGGCAAGAAACAACATGAAAGTTCAAAAAACCAGATGGATAGATTGAATTAACATAGCTGCAGAGCTGTTTGCTGATCTGATAGCTGGAAATCAATAGTCTGAAATAGGCAGAGATGGAGAAGCCTGGTAATTGCGGCAAAGGATCTACAAGATCTGTAAAGCCAACACCAAAAGAAAAGATTATTTCTGATAAGTTCCAAAACATTATTTTAATAAAATGTAGTGTTGTCATCTTCTATTCCGGACTTAACTCATTCTCCTGAACCACTCAACCATTGTCTATACAATTTTTGATAAATGTATAGTTGTTTATTCATAATTGAAAAAATAATGTCAAATTTTGAGAAAAAACCTTCCATTACAGAATTGCGACAGTAATGATCCCACCCATCACAACAATGGATAGATTAATTGAAAATCTAGATTGTAATTAATTGAAAAATTAATATGATTGATTATTCAAAATCAATTTGATAACATAAATCAATGGTGTATTTTTTTATGGCAAAATTGAATCAATAGATATTTGATAATTTTATTGGAACTTGAATATCCCATATTCTATTCGTCATCAGTTCCACCAAGATATCTTTGAATTTTAATTCATTAAGCTTTTAATAGTTTTTATATTTCCACATTAGACTATAATTATTAATTCTCTTTTGAAATTTAAATTTACAACTTTGATAAAATAATTAAACACGCTAAACCAAACAGTAATGACTTATGAAGAAATTAACTCTTCTTTTTAAAAGAAGACTAATTAGAAATATTTATTGAAAATAAAACGATGAAGGAATGCGGTAAAAATCCTGTTATCCTCTTGCAAAATTTTATCCTAGCTCTCCAAAAATTAATCAAGTGATTGGGAGGACATTGTTTGCCTTCATTAATAGAATGAATTTATTTCGTGTACAGTTAATTTTTAAATCTGAAACATTTAGTTAAGTTTCTATGGGTGGTACTAATGTAAACTTGAAATTATTAAAACATTTGGAAAGTCATATCAAAAAGCATAATGATGAAAATGATCTATTTTTCCTTTATAATGTGGACATCATATTATACCCAATACTTTCAAAACAGTGGTTGTGAAACAACACTGGTAATGAATATGGTATAATATCATGATTTTTTTACAATTTTTCATTCCCGTTTCAATAGTTTACAGATAATTAGGTACACGGTTTTAATGCTTTCTATTTGTTTAATTTTAGATGTGATTATTCAGTTACATATGAATAAACAATTAATCTCGTTCCTATCTTTCTCATTATTTTATTGAACTTTAGTATTGTAAAAATATTAAGATTATGGTTTAAATAAAAAAAAAAAAAAGGCTTATAAAGATAGTTATAAGGTTATAAAAATGGCTTCCAAAATAATGAACCTTATAAATAAAAGTTTTATTTGCATTATGAGTTTGAATTAATTAATGATGGATGTTTGTTAATCCAAATTAATTTTACAACTATTTCCTTTTTCATTATTATTGTGTTTATGAATTTTCAAAAATAATATTCTTTTCTAAAACAGAAGAAATACAAAATAATATTTAACAGTTGTAAAATGTCCTTGGGCTCTAATGTAAATCTGATGAAATTAATATAAAATTATTCATATATCATAGCCCTATGTTTATATAAATTTAGTTTATGTTTCAGCTTTTCGTATGGGCTAGGTGTGGTTCCTATGTTGTAACCTTTTCTTGCAGTTTACATAAAGTACATATCTTTTACAGACTATTTTATCTTCTTGATGGATAATCTGTTTATCTGTTTCAGTAAGTTATCATTCTACTTTCTGTTTATCGTTTGCCGTGCTAGGTGTTATGAAAAGATTATGATTCAACATGTTGCCATGTGACTACTTCCTTTATTTTTCACTTATTGTCTTTTAAGTTTTTTTAAATATTGGCTGTGATTTTGTGATTTATCTGTTAACACTGTGGTAATCAACTTTAATTATTTCCTTGCAAGAGTTTAAAAATTACCAATTACAATTTTCTCATTGTTTTGATAAATGGATTTGTTTTTAAAAATTTCAATAATTATTTGTTTGAAATCAGCTTCAGTTTATTTATAAAAATGAATAAGGCTCTGTTCTCCCGTACTTTAAGTTATGGGTTAATAAAAAAATCAAATATTTAAAAAATTTCTGAAACGTATGCTTTATTTATACTATATAAGTACATGTATGCTTAATTTAATGGCCGAGCTTTCGAAATCAAACCAATACTTAAATAATTAATTTTATTTTTTAATTTGTCAAGATTTTAATACATCAAAAAGATTTTTGTTAAATATTATGGGTTTCTAGAGGAAATGAAAATTTCAATTTTATTTATGTGTCGAAATCTTAAACATTTATAAGGTTAAAGGCCTTTATTGTGTCATGTGAAAATTTTCTAAAGGACTCGTTTAGTTGTATTGACTATTATTCTATGTGAAAGACCTTTATTATTTTTGTATTTGGAAAGAAGTTCGTCAGTATTTGTTATTATGCAAGTCTTATAAAAGTTTGAATCCTGGAAATGTCAGTCATTATCAGAATTGCATCAAGTATCATATACTTAATTTCATTGTATCTCACTAATCAATGACTCAATTTCTTACTTTCATTTATCATTCAATAGTTTTTATAATATACTTCATTGTCTATGGCTTATATCCACCGAGCATTGAACAAAACAGGCATACCTCGCTATTATTACCATCATTAGAATAACCAGAAGGCAATAAGTTAAAAAGAGAAATTAAAAAAAAAAAAAACAAGCAATTTACGAAACGTGGCAATCCTTAAAATGAAAATTAAATTTAGAAAAATCCTCAACATTTTCACCAGTCCCTATCTTGATAATTTACTGTCATGCATTAGGTGAGTTTAGATGATTATTTAATTATGGCTGTTATTGAGACCTTAGGACTATATTAGCTTGGTTTTCCTGGAAGACAAGCAAAATGTTAACTAACCAGTTCTGATTTCTTTGTACTAATCTGCTGGATTACTATACTGTACTATGGATTAATACTATAATGTATACATAAAAATAAAAATAAACTGCATTCATTTTTACCAAGTTAGGCAGCTAAGAATTTATGGTTGCTTTTTAAAACTCGAAGCCCTCTTGTCTGTTTCCAAGTACTTGTAAAAGAAAAAAAAGTTGTAGGTACTTCTCAATTGTTTTGCCTTCATAGAATCCCGCCGAGCTTTAAATGATAAATTTTTGTTCAAATCTTTCTTTCTCCTTACGGCTGATGTCAGAAGTTTCAAATTTCTGGAACCATTTACTTTTAATCTGTTCAAAAAGAGCATCCTTTGTTTTGAATTTCTTTACCAAACAGTCTCTTTACTACTGAGTTCTTGTGACTATGAAAATGTTTTAGAGTTGGAATTCAGGCAAAAGTTATTACACTCCTCATGAGAAAAAAATGTCTATTAGGGTTTTAGATTTTAGTCAGGATTTGATTAAGTAATACCAAACTGTAGAAGTTTTTATTAAATTGTGTTTATTTACTGTTAATATAATGGATCACAGATGGGGAACCTGTGGCTTCCGTTTGTTTTTGTGCAATATTCATTAATCTAGTACTAAAATTAATCAATATTTAATTATTTAGGTTACGAAAATTTGAAAATTAATAGAATGAAGTTGTAAACATGTATATGGGTGTGTATTTACTTCTAAATAAATATAAAAAACAGTAAAATATAAATTAAAAAAAAAACTATTACCGCCTCCATTATCACTGCTTCTAATGATAAAAATGTTCCGCATCTATGCAATAAACGTGGTGTCTCCAAACTTTTTAGCCTGTGGGCAATATTAAGACCTGCAAGCCAAATTGAGACTCCACCCTAGTCTTGTGGACCGAGCTTTGCTTGCGATGAAAAAAAAAAAAAGTCTTATGCTATTAATTGGCTAAATTATTTTGTAATTAAAATAATTTAAAATAGTTTTTAAAATTTTACCCTGTAATCTAAGAAACTTTCGCGGGCTAGATTGAAGATGCTTGCAGGTCACATTCAGTCTACAGGCCGTAATTTAGAGACGAGACCTCTGCAATATAAAATAGGTAGGGAACCTGGGGTATGGAGTCCTAGAATTATCGTGAAAGTATAGAACTATTAGTTATAATATTCTGTTGATGAAGAAATTAATTTTAATTTACAACATACCATAAATAATGTTGATGTTTACTCACATGGATTATATTATTTTATAAGGAAAATGTCACTGTTCTTGTATTTTGTTTCTTAAATATTCATACATGCATTGATTTTTAGCTAATGATGGTGGTGATGAAGGAACTCAACCAAATGAAAATACGACAGTCAATAATGACAAGCTTGAAAAAATGGAAGTAGATTTACCTGCTGTGACGTAAGCATTTTATACATTTAAAACCAACATAATTCTATATAATTATGCTTTTAAAAAGCAATGCTTGGTATATCTTATTTGAAAAATAATCATTGAATCAATATTAAGTTTATGTTCATTTGATTCCGTTGAGAAGTGGGTTGCACATTTTATATATGATATCATCAGTAAATGTTGCCATAATGCAATATAACTAATGAACTGAGTCTTAAAGAATGTGATAAATCAATTTTTCGAAAGATAGCTTGAAAACAAATAATTTAATTTTACTTCTTAATAGGAAAAGTGATGCAGAGAATTCGGAAAAGGAAAAAAGTCACACCGACAATGAAGGTATAGAGAAAATAATTAATATATTCTTTTTTTATTGTTTACTCGTTTTTACATTAAATTTTTGTATTTAGAAAGCCAGAGTCAGGATGGATTCAGAAGTTTTTTGCCAGATGGAAATAAAACGCCCTCAAAAAAACTTGAACACTCTGAAACGTAATTATAGTCATAACATGTTTATTTTAAATATTATGAGTATTATTAAATCTTTATTATTTTTATATAGTGAAGAAAATTCTATGGATATTAAGGCCAATGAAGGTACCCGTGGCGAATCTGAGGGTTTTGACTTACATCTTTCTCAGACACAGTCCTTTGTGTTTCACACAGAGAAATCAGGTGTGTATGTTATTGGTTTTAAAAAATGTCTTTTTCCCTCCCATAGTAATCCTTTAGAAAGAGATGAGATACTAAATAAGGCTTGTATCTGTATCATTTTTTAATTTTTTATAATTGTCTTCTGTTGTAGCTTCACCAATAAACTGCGAGTCAGATGAAAGCAAAGGGCAGATGAGTAAAATATCCGAGCCTGAGAAAGTTGTAAGTTCTGATGATAGGTCCACTGAATCTTCTATCAAGAAGGTTGACAGTTTTGATGAGCAGTCAAATGAATCTGAAATTAAAAAAGTTGATAGCTTTGATGAGCATTCAAATGAATCTGACATTAAAAAAGTGGAAAGTGTTGATGATCAATCAGATGAATCTGAGTTGAAAAAAGGTGGTAGTTCAGATGAATCAGAAATTAAAACAAAAGAAAGTTCTGACAAATCAGAAGAAAAAAAGGTTGATATCGTTGATAGTGAGTCAAATGATGAGCAACCGGAGAAGTCCGAATCTTCTGAAAAGAAAGTTGAAACTTCAGAGAATGAATCCCAAGAAGCAATGGATGTTGATGGTCCTCCTGAGGTTCCAAGTAATTCGGAAAAGGCAGGTCGAAAATCAGCAACTACTAAAAAACATGTTGCATTTGAGGGAGATATTGGAAATACGGAGGTACTGTGTTATTAGTTACTAATTGTCTATTTATTTTATCTATATGTTGAAATTTAAAAATATTTGGACTACAGCAGACTCCTGACAATTCCTTGGTTTAAAAAATAGAAATATGTAATTTCTGTGGAGTTTTGTTTTTTTACCTCTTGTGTGGATACAATTTGACAGTTATGTTCTACCCAAAACTATAAATTAGAATGTTATTATTTTTCTTATCCTTAATAGTTCTAATGAATAAGATGAAGCATTAAATATCTAACGTTTTATATTATTTGGAGATTATTGACATCCCTTCTTTAATTCTCAAAGGTTATGGAAAAGTTAAATGTTCATGTATGGGCAGCTCATCCTATGTATGTTTAATACAGTTTAGATATGAACCACATAACTGGCACTTCAATATATTGTTGAAGCATTCTCCACATATCCAGGAAACCTATAATTCAAAATTTCAAGAGTGACCAATTCAAGTTCATAATTTCTATTTATTTTTTTTTTTAAATTGCCATTTACAAAATTTTATGGAGTCTGTTGAGTGTATTGTAAGTTTCTTCTTTCAGCATAGTTTACATGAATGTCCAGTTGTCTTTTCTTATCTTTTTGCCTTTTTTTTTCATCTGACAGAATTATTTTTCTCAATATCATACTGTCAAAAGTTTTGTTGTTAAGGGTTTTTTTCATCAATGAAGTGTTGGAAGTGTTTCATTAATACTTGAAACAAGAAATGGAAAATAAAGATTTTTTTTTAAGCTTGTCAGGATTCTACAAGAATCATGAAAAAAAAAAATCAAAAGTTTATTTTGAGTCACTGTTTAATAAAGGATTATATTTGGATTGCTTATAACTATTTAGTACAAGGTTTTCTTCTCAAAACTTGATATTATCATCGATTTCAAAATTTACAGTTATGTATATAATTATCCTTGAATTTTATCGCAAACGGTTTAGCAGTTTTTCAATCATGGAGCGGCCAGAAATAGATATTAGGTGGGCCTGAAAGTTACGTCGTTTCTGAGCATGTCACTATTTGATTGTCATTTGGTAGCTCATTGTGTACATCTGTCATGGCAAAGACATTCTCAGGCTATAGTGACTTCTTTAGTTGCATATAATTAAGTTAATTTTTTTTTCTTGTAATTTTTGGAGAAATGGCCAACCAAGTACCAGAATAGGTACATGTGTACAAGAGGTGCATTGGTTTTGAGTTTCGCAAGAGTAGTAACGTGTAACGGTATCTACCAAGAAGATTTGCAATGTTTATCCAAATGCATTAGACATTCGTAAATGCCAAAGATGATTTTTCAAGTTCAAATCCAATAATTCAGATCTTTCCGACTCGTATCGATTTGTATGACCAATAGCGTTATACAGTGGCGTGTTAAGGAAAGAAGTCGAAGCAAATCCGTGTCAGACAATTGAAGAATTATCAAACAATTTTAACCAAACTTGGTTGTCCATCCAAGAACATTTGCAACAGAATGGGAAACCATCATAAGCAACTTATTTCTTCAACGCCCCTATACAGAAGCGATTTTTGATCGGTCGATCACTGGAGATGAAAAATGGGTCCTGTATAATAATCCAAAACGCAAAAGGCAGTTGCTTTCTCCAAAAGAATTGCCACAAAGTACTGCTAAGCCACTTTTACCCCAAAAACATCTTTTTGTGTGTTTGGTGGATTATTGCCGGCGTTGCTCGTTTTGCAGTGGTGAAACCTGGACAAACTGTGAAAAATTGAAACGTGTAAATCAGTCTTTAATTGAAAAGTGGCCAGCCATTGTCAATAGAAAAGGCGTTATTCTGCTACACGAAAATGCAAGAGCGCACTGTGTAAGACGAACCCTGGAAAATATTCATGAATTGGGATGGGAGGTACTACCTCATCTACCATACTCGGCCGATGTTGCACCATCGAATTTTCATTTATTCCAATCGTTTCAACACATTTTAAGTGGCAAAAGATTTGCAAATTTGAATGATGTCCAAATTACCATCTATGTATAATTTACTCTACAACCAATTGATTTATATTGATCCTTCATTGATAATTTGCACACCAGATGGCAAAGGGTTGTTGATAATGACAATGATTAAAAATAAAAAATCATGTGAAATTCATGTTTTTAAATTTAATGTATGAAAATGACATTACTTTCTGGTCCCCCTAATACAAGAATAGTACAGGTTGTTTTTTTTTCATAACTTTTTCCCCAGAAACATTAAAATCAATAATTTAAATAAAGTCTTACTATAATATTTTTAACTATTATTTGCATTCTTTCCATATCCTAATTAGAATATGTTAAAGTTATAACTTATAACTTTGAAAAAGAAATAAGTTATAACTTATAAGTTATAACTTATTTCTTTTTCATTATAAAGAATGAAAAAGAAAAATGTAAATTACTTCCTTATTAATTAGTGAATTATCTTTCTAACACCTAACAAGTTAAAAATTTACTTAAATTACTAATAGTAGTTGTTGGTTTCTTTATGTAAAATAAGACATATAATTTTTTTTTTCCTCATGACATATATGTAAGCATATTAGAGAGTGTGCATGCATGTGATCGATATTTGTAAGCCTCATTCCAGTTTTGCATGAATTAAAAACTGACAGGGAAGCTAAACTATTGATATGTACAGGGTAACCCGTAAGTGGAGGAAAATATTTTCAGGAATGATAGCAGACCTCAAAACCTTCAAAATAATTAATATAATCACAGAAAATTAAAAACTTTTGTTTGTATTTTAAAATTTAAAAAGTTTTATGTTTTTCAAGTAAATTATTATTTTTCATTGTATAGGAAATGTTAACTAAAGAAATACTTAATTTAAATAATTCTTCACAATAAGTTACACAAATCTGGTGATTGGAGTGGAGTTTCAAGTCATTTTGGCGTGTTGTACAGTAGCCAGAGTTGAGTATTGAAAGTTGTATGTTTGGAGTCATTATCTTGATAAAAGGCAAATGACGCGGAAATCCCCAATTTTTCAACTGATAGTTTTAAAATTTGCACATATTGCTTGTGGTCCATATTCCCTTTGAACAAATTCCAATCTCCCAACACCGACAGCATTCATACACATATAGCATTCTGGTTTATTGTTCTATTCTGTTCACTGACAAAAAGTATGACTTGACATTCAACCATGGGAATTTGCACTTCTCATAAAATTTCTGACAGATATTGGTTTCTCATCATTTAGATTATATTCTGCGGAATAATGTGGGTGTTTAGCCACTTTTCTAACAACTGATCTGAATTTTCTGCTCAGAAAATATTTTCGGTCTACCATTTCTTTGTTTATTCTTATAACTTTTGGTAGCTCCATACCTTTCTTTTATATTCCAAACAGTGTCATTCTTAGAATTCTAATTATTGCAGATATATCCTGTATAGATTTTCATATATTTTTGAGGCAGATAGCAATTTTTCTTTTTCTCACACTTGTTTTCTTCACTTTAAGTTCCATTTCGATTAATATAGTCTACCCTTTGAAACTTCAAGACGGAAATAATAAAATTTTATCATAAAAGTACGCAGGCAGAAAATACACTGTTGATATTTGAGAAAAAATATTTTATTTTTTATATATATATATAATTAATTTAATGACCTAATACCTGAAAAGAATAATTATTTTACAATAAAATATTTAAGAGTCAATAAAAAAAAATAATTTTATATTATAATAGCCTTTCAGTTTCAGCAGAATGACTAACTCTTACTTCAACATTTTTTATTAGTAATTTTAGTGATATTTCTAGTAGGAAAATGTATGTCTATTTACAGTTCTATATTTCAACACTGGAATAAACTTACTCACTATCGGCATAGATATTATAAATTTTCTGACTTGAAATATCTTTAAAATGATTACTCAATAATGTTGAAATAGGAATTGGACAATCTGTCAACTGAAAGGCGTGTATATTTATTTATTCATTTATATTTATATGTATATTTATTTATTTATATATATATATATATAATAATAATAAAAGGCTTAGCGAACCCGAAGGTTCGATGCCGACACCACCAATCGCTTATTACACACCTCCCTCCACCGTTCGCCGTCCAAACCCAGTCCCTTCAAATCGGCTTTAATGCAATCTTCCCACCTTCGCTTCGGTCTACCCCTCGGACACTTACCATCCGGCACAGCAAATATTAATCTTTTAGGAATTCTCTCGTTACTAAGCCCAACAACTTTACAAGCCCATTTGATTCGCCGCGACGATATTACCTCAGTTATATTACCCGGATACAGTTCACGCAATTCGGCGTTGTGTAACCGTCTGAACTCTCCGGTTAACTCATCCTTCTTCGGTCCGAATATTCTACGCAATACTTTATTTTCAAAAACCTTAAGACGCTGCTCATCTCTTAATGTAAGCGACCAAGTTTCGCATCCATAAAGAACTGTAGGCAAGATAATTGTTTTATAGATTCTAATTTTTAAGTTCCGGGACAAGAGGCGCGAACTGAGCAGTTGTGTCACAGAAAAATAACAAGCATTTCCCGCCTTCAGTCTAACCTTAATCTCTCCTTCAATTTCGTTTTTTATAGTTATCGTAGAACCTAGATACCTAAATTTATCTACCTGTTCAAACATATTACCATCTATATCAATATCACCAGTAGTATCGCAATTTTTGCAGCTAACCATATATTTTGTTTTATCCATGTTAATTTCGAGTCCTAGTTTTTTAACGGCTTTCATTAACGTTGTCGTATTTAGTTTTATATATATATATATATATAATAAATATTTGTTTCTCAAATACCAACAGTGTATTTTCTGCCTGCGTACTTTTATGATAAAATTTTATCATTTCCGTCTTAAAGTTTCGAAATTTTCATCATACGTAATTTATATATATATGTATGTGTACGGGAGTGTGAATGTGACCCCCGTGCGCCCTGTGAGTGTGTGTGCATGCATGTGTGTTCTCAGTTTCCAAATATTGAGTGTTACATAATTATAATTTTGTCAAACAATTTTAAATTTTCAGTGGGTTCTTCTTTGGGTGTGATTTTATTTTTTATTTTTTTATTTGTTTGCATCATTTCGTTTTACTGTTTAAATTCCATAAATTATTTATTCTAAAAATTTAATTCCATATTATAGTTTTACAGTATATGCTCATTGCTATTGGAATGAATGAACTTGATATATACATAGAATTTCATAATAGAAAAGAGTTTGTATTCCATTTAAATTAACCAGATTAACAGGAGAATGACTTTCATAAAAAGAAAAAAAAAAAAAAAACTGGGTAAGATTTTAGAATTCTTTGCAATACAGTTTTCATTTACAAAATTATTTGTGTTATGAGAAGTTACAAGAAGTATGAAAGAAGTGGATAACACAAATGGACTTCCAATAATGCTAAAGGAATATGAGACCTTAAACTGTCAAGAGAAATCTCACTATACAAATTGTTAGCCTCTATCACTAACTTCTGAGTTGTGACAATCACATTATTTTTTTGTCTATTGGATTTAGTTGTGATAGATTATTATTTACTTGGCATGTGTTGTGTATTTAACTTCGACTTAATGACTTCTTTCCTCCAACAAGAGTAAGAAGGAGTAAGAACCATCCTACGAAGTACCAAAATTTGTTTTTTAAAGGGGAATTGAATTTTTATTTGTTTGTCTATAAATTACGACCACCCCATATAATGCAATCAGTCTTCGATTGTTTTACTTCAAAACATGTTTGATTGCAGCTTCAACAGTTGGAGAACGTGGATTTTTATTGAAACTATTGATTTGATGGAACATATTATAATTAAGTTGATTATTTTAATCCACACACATTTTTCTTGTTTGGTTTAATTTTTTTTTTATTCTATTTATTTTGGTCTGTCCACTTCAATGTGAACGAATTAGTTTGTTTGTCGTATCTTGATTTTGGATCACCAAAGTGTTTAATTGACATTATTACTAATCTTACCAATGTGGCCTTTTTAAATAAAATTTTCAGCCTGTTTTGCTTCATTACCTCTTCTATCATTTTGCCACTGATGATAGATTTCTTTTTTCAGTTTGGTGGTAATCCGCGAAGAACTGCTGGAAATGAAATGAAAAATTATTTAGAAATGGATAATCATAAAATTTCATGGTAACTTCAGAGAATAACATGTATGAAGTTTATATGTCGGGATTGTCATTGCGGAGAACCCACCATGATTTATTAGAAATTATTCATAGCAAGTGTTCAGTGAATTAGTGCCTGTCATTCTGTGCTTCAAGGTTTACTTGATTTATATTTTTTATAAATGTAACTGTCATAAATGATATTGTTACAAAATCTCGTATTAGTAAATTATAATGTATTAATTCTGTCATACTCTTTTAATAGTGAACCAAAGTTAAGCCATTACTATTTCACACTGTATAAGTATTTTCAACTTCTCATTTTTCTTTATTATTTTATACTTTTGATCAATACACATATCATGGTTATACCTAGAGTTTGTGTATGCCCCGATGTACCAGCTCTGAATTACTTCAAATATTGTCTAAAAAAGGGGTCTAAAAAGGTCTAATGTTTATATGTATTCAATATATTTATTTTTTTATTACTTGTCGTAATCTGCTTACTATAATTGTCTGGCATCCGAGGAATTGGTTTTTGTTCTTTCTTATCAGGTTGACCAACCTCAATTGCAAAGACTACTCTAAAATATTTCTTGCTAGTCTATTCTGAGGTGTTTTTTTTTAGTCTACTCTCAGGTAGATTATTGTGTTTAATATTTGTTGTATCCTGTTGTCACTACTTCTACATAACTTATTTCTTGTTCTAGTTGTTTGCTTTGTTATTATTTTATTTTTTTAGTAAAACTCATTTACATTTTTATGCAATTGATTTTATTTTATCAAATTTTAAGGGATCATTTCTCACTAATAGAAAATAAACTTGCTAGCTTTCTCTCTATACAAATATAGTGAACTCTTACACACAGGTGCTTTAGTAAAGATAGAAAATTAGAAAACGTTCTTTAAAACTAATTCAATGTACAGAGCTGTTTACAAACAAAGAAAACTGAGAAAGGGAAGGAATATTCATTAAAAAAGGAAACAAAATAAGTGTAATATAAAATGAAATAAGGTTTAAAAAATAATTTCTAAATAAAGAGAAATCAATAAAATTTAATTAAGTAAAACAAAAGATAATTTAATAATTGTAGGTACTCAAACATTTTTTTTTTTTACTTAGTTACTATCCGCTTCTGCAATTTGATACATCTCCTAATCTGCCGATAAATAGTCTAATATGTTCCAGGCTTGAGGTTACATTTTGTCTCTCTCGTTGACTTTCTGGGTATCATGATAATCAGTTCACTCTATTTAGGGCTATTTTTTTTTTTTTTTTTTTCAATTCATATCTAGAAATATCAATTTACAGCTCAAAACATTGTTCTACAATAAATAAACCAAAGGGTGTACAGTGTTGTAATTAAGACTATGATACCTGGACATTAAATAGCACCCTAGAAAGAAGTATTAAAGGATTTGACTGGAAAATACACCGAGGGGAAGGACCAATAAAGAACTGCTTCCAGAAACTGGTCAATCAATATCTCATGATATGGAAGCAAGAAAGCAGCAAACATTTTCTAGAATGCGTGTTTCAAAAAAGAGTTCAAGGAAGGATGAGGAAGGACATGTGGAACATCAGCAACTCAATCACTGTCCTCATACCAGCATTACTGATAATAATTGAGTTAAACAAGTTGAAGGTTGAAACAAGTGGCAGGTATCAAGTAATAATCACAAATGACCAACAGTTCCGCAGAGTGTATGCCTGCCAGATGTGGTCTCTTAAATTCATATTTTCTTGGAGGAGGGTTTAAATAACTGATTATTGAGAATAATTATTGGCATGATTAAGGACACTGCGTGATTTGGACATATTAATTTTTCATGGATTCAAAAAATTATTGGTTTGTGCTGTGTGCTTTCTTAATTTATTGTTAAGTTTAAAGGTTCATTTACGCATTACACAAGCTTTGTGAAGTACAAATGTGTAAATAGAATATTTCTCTTAGCTAGTGTTTTTGCCCCGCTGTTTGTGATCGATCCATTTATTGTTAGGTTTTCAAGAGAAATAAAAGGAGTTAGGCTGATGTTGCTTTTACGCATTTCTTTACTGTTTTTGTTGCTTGAGAGATGTGGAATTGAATGGTTCTTGGTGAATTTTCTTAGTCCACCATTTTCTTCGACAAATTGTAGCCTTCCTTCATTTTCTTTTTATTCCTTTTTTTTTTTAATAATTGCAATAGGTTTATGTAAATGAGATTCCTAATGTCTGCCATGTTTGTTTTTCTGGAAATAAAGAAACATGTAATCACCCTGTTTCTTGTGTTTTTTGTTGTTTGTTTGTATTTCTGATGTTTTTAAAATTTGTAAATTCATATGAGCATCAATAATTGATTATAGTAAATGCCATTGGATACAATAATAGTCAGTGATTTGAGAAAACATTTCTTTAAAATGCTGGTAATACACTAATTATTACCTTACATAGTGGGAAATGTAATTAGTTAATTTATATAAAAATCCATTATTAAAAAACTTAGCTGTAAGAAATGATACAAAATGATGTAGCTGAAGGTGTCATGATTTAGCTGAGTTAAGAGTGTATTTTTTACTTTTAAACGCAATCAATATTTCCTAATTATTCTCTTTGGGAATCATGGGAAACTTTGGGTAATTATAATTTATGAATCATTTCAAAATTTAATATAATCTGTATATCTTATGAAATACAACCTGAAACATCTAAATCACATATTGTTGTTCATTCTTCAAATTTTTTATGATTTTTATGTTTTTTTTATTTTAGAGTGAAGATTCAGAGGCCAAATCAACAAGCAAGATTCAGTCTGTTTGCACTTGCATTCCGGTACAGTTTAATTATTTTTATGTAACTTTAAAAATTAAGTGAATAAATGAACTTTCAACAGAAATATAGTTATAGTGAGGAATGTGTTATTATTAATTTTTTTTCTAAAGGGTTGTCATGATCGGCTCGAAGTGATATCTCAACATTTAAACAGTGCTTGTTCTCAATTAGAGGAGTTTATCAAATCAAAAAAGCGAGATGACAAAAAGCAATTGAATAATTTTCTTGATATGTTGAAGGAAATACAAAGCATATCTGAAAACAAAGACATAACTGGTGAAACAAAAATATCTGAAAATGTGTTTTCACTGGTCTGTATATTTATACATATATATTTTGAACATTATACCTTTTTAATTATTTTATTTGTTTGCATGCGAAACTCTTATTTTTTATTTTAGGAAGAAACTCCAAAGAGTGGTCGAAAAACAGGGACTAAAAGAAAATCTAATGACATGGAGACCCCATTAAAAGCTACTCCTCGCAAAAAGGTAGCAGAGGAAAAATCTGGAAAACCTACAGAAAAAAAAACCATAGATTTTAAAGGTAATTATGTCATGTGAACTTTATTTATTAACAAATATGATACAAATAATTGTGCATTGTTTTTACTTATAACATATAAAATGCTCTCTGACTATCCACAACTATTTTAAATGTTCGAAAATTCTATTTATTTTAAATTATAAGTATAGTTTTAAAAACTTCTTTCGATTTGTGCTAGGATTTTTTTTAGTAATTCCCAGAATATTCCCTTTTATGTTTTGTTTTTTTATTCTTCAGGTTTTATTTTATTATTATTTTTGTAATTGAAACAAACTAATGTTACTCTCTCACTTACCCTTTTTTTTTTTTATGTTCTTTCCTATCTTGCCTTATAGGGTATAGGGGATTTTCTTTGACCCGAGGGTTAGGGACTTTTTAATCTCATAACTTTGGTTATCTGATTGCCGGGCAACTCACGATGCAATACACACATGTTAGCCCATTCGGCCACCCTGCCCCAATAAAACTCTCACTTACCTTTTTTTTGGAGGGGGGGGGGGTTCCTTCCCTTCCTTGCCTTTAAGGCTATACGGGGTTTTCCCAGGTCAGGGAGTGTGGGCGGGGATTTAAAAGACCCCCAGCACCGGTACGCAAACTCGTGACTATTTTAAATCCATTGTCTCATAGATCAGGTTGCCGGGCAACGGCGGTGCTGTGCACACACGTTAGTCCGTTCGGCCACCCCGCCCACAACTCTCACTTATCTATATATGTAACATATAGTGAGGGAAAGTATTGCAATCGTGAATTTTCGAATTTGAGTTTTTAACGGAAATACATTTTTTGAGGTCCCCAAGTCCAAATAACCAAGTCCCACAAAATGGTTTGTGTATATGTACCTAGTTCTGCCATAAATACTGTTACAAAAGTTGAACTTTGTTTATATCCTCAGGTGTTATTTAGATAATCATTACCTCTATCAGATTATTTTCTTTACATGTCGTCAGAATAATGATCCCAATTAGTTTGTATTTTTCTTTCGCTCAGTTAACATAGAACGGTTAGAAAACTGAATAGCTGTGGTCGCCTTACACAAATTTGGAAAATTTAGGTCAGAGATTTCAACCATGAAACCCTATCTATGATACCCTAAGTATGTATGAGACAGACTTAGGTTTGTTCATGCCTAGGATATTTTAGTTACTTTTTCAGTGTAACATTAAGCTGTTTTTATTATAATGTCTCATTCTTATCGATGTTCTCTAACAGTGTTTACATGCCTAATTTCCAAAATTTCTTCCTCTAAAGTACCTTTAAGTTTTTTTATTTGAAATAGTTCACCATTTCACATCGGGAACTGATATAAAAATTGGCTGAACATAAAGAATGAAAAAAATTGATTAGTAACTATAGGAGAAATAAGGGTTGGTTGAAAGCTATTTGGAAGCCGCCGTGATCACCCGACCTTAGCCGATCCTCTCCGTTTACAGATACCTGATACCCCCCTACGTAATGAGATTCCGCATTGTTAATTTAACTTTTATATATCACATCCATAATTTTTTTAAAATGTTTTCATATGAAATGTTAAGGATTTATAATATAAATCTAGTAATATACAATATTTACAAATGTTAAGTTATTTTTTCATGATATTCTGATAAAACTTATAATTTTTTCAAAAGCTCCATTTTTCATTGGAATATAAAGCTCCATATCATTAATATTGTTTGATACTATACATAGTCGTAAAACGAAATGGAAAGTGATACAAACATAAATTTAACAGATGGGTGAGGATAACATGGTAATCAATAGTTTTAAATGAAGTTAGACTGTTGTTTTTACTTGGGCTTTTCCATATATGAAAATACCTTTCTATTCTAAGGTTCGTAAGTGAAAATTGTGTAATGCATCCACCGTACCAGATTGTTCTTAATGTATTTGTTAGCATACATCACTTATACTTTATATTTCTCAAATCAAAATTAATTTAGAAACAACTTGAGGGCAATCAAATTAAAACATATAAAACTATTGATGTTGAAAATTAATTCAGTTTTTATGCCAGGAAGAAGGTAAGAGATGTCATTGGAGCATACTATTAATTTTTGTTTCATTTATTTGTTTGTTTCTGCTTAAAGGGGTTAAGTCGTCAGGTCAATGACCAAGCTCATGTTCATTTTACTAATGTAAATTTCATAAATGCTATTTTATGTGTAGTAACCTAAATTAAGGTAAATACAGTTGTATTATTTTGTTTTATACAGATTTAAAAGGATTGGCAGTTTTTGCCAAATGGCCTAATAGCGGATGGTATTATCCTGGTATAGTAGAAGAATTGACTGCTACTGATTGGAAAGAAGTTACCAATGTAACTGTCAAGTTTTATGATGGTTTGGTGAGAGATATGAAAAATATTAACATCTTACCTGCATATCTAATACCAGCTGGCTCCATGTTATGTGATCTTGAAGATGAAACAGAAATGGTTGTTTTGTCATGTGAAGGGTAAGGATAATTATTGTTATGTTAAACATATTTGGGTTTATTATAAATATTTGCATGGTTCTAATTGAATAGAATTAGGACTGTAGATCTAACAACCATTTGTATAAGGTTCAATCAAAATTGATCTTAAGCACAGTAAAGTACCAATGGATTCCCCTTTCAGCTCATGGAGGTCAGCTAATTTATCTTAAGAAATTGTATTTATGCCAGTGAGAAATATCTAAACCAAGTTTTATTAACAAGTTATGGACGTTCTGTTACCGATTTCAATGAAACTTTTTATGGTGACACTAGGTTGAAAAATATTAGATCCATATCCGAGTTCTTGCTAATGGGCCCTAGGAGCAGAGAAAAAAATTTAATATAAAATTGTATCAATTTTTTGTGATACTGTTTTCTGACTTTGGTCTGCAGGGATTTCTATGTTAATTATACATCAATTGATTTGTTTCTTTTTTTGTAAAATAAGAAAAACATGTTGCTAATCGTACTGAACAAATTATTATATATAATAAATTACAAAAACTCATACGTCAGTACAAATTGTTTTAATACTTTACTAATAATATAGCTGTATGCCAATTATATATTTTGTTCTAAACCAGATGGATACCAAAAGTAGGATTACATGCATACAATTTTATATTTTGTCAGAATATTTATAAACAAATATGTATTACAAATTTGATCCAAAAATAATAATAAAGCATGTATTGTTCATATTACACACAGATTACCTTCAAATATATTTTGTGGGGATAAATAAAGATGATATTCATTTTCCACACCTCCAAAAATCCTTAAACAAGAATATTCGTTGCAATCTCTTATGAGATCCATCTATGTTTATAGCTGTAAAATAGATATTAGTTCAACAAAATATATTTATTTTTCTATTGTAATGATAATTTCCTCAATATTTAAATATATTTTGAATTATAAAGCTATAAACATGGATGGATATCATAACAGCTATTAATAAAAGTCCGATTATTGAACAACAAATTTATATCTTTCGATTGCAATGAAAATTCTTATTTAATGGTTTTTAGAGGTACAGGAAACGAATATCATCTTTGTTTATCCCCACAAAATATATTTGATGGTTTAATCTGTGTATAATAGGTATGCACATTGCATTATTTTTCTTATTTTACACACAAAAAAAAAGCCATGCAGAGCAAAGTCAGAAAATATTATTACAAAAAAATTATAAAATTTTATAAAAAAAAAAGAATCCTCGGGCATAGGTCTAAACTTTTTCGACTTAGGATCACCAAAAAAATTTCATTGAAATCGTTACCTCCTCTTGTAAGCTAAAATAGGAATGGGTTAATTCAATCCTAGAATTTTTTTATTAAGATACATATAAACCAATTTGATCAAAATCTGCCATTGTTTTGAAGTTCTGACTCATTTTTGATTGAGAGTAGCTGATGGCTTCAATAATCCTATGGGGTTTTGTTGTTCTTGTCTTTGAAGATCATGTTTATTGATTCTGTATCAAGGTATAATTTTCATTGATATCTCTGTCATAAATATAGGTACTAAATCATTTTAGTACAATATCTTTTTTTATTTAATTAAAAGTGTGGTTGTAATTTTTATTTATTTATTTTTGCCAATTACTTTTTTAGGTCTAACCAAAACAGTGTAGACTTCAAGTTGTCGACCAAAGAAAATCCTGATGCAGTTCTGGAACTTAACTTCAATAAACTAGCAATAAAAGCTAACCACATGAAGAACATTAAGGTGCAGTTGGAACCGACCACTGATGCAACACCGAAGAACATGCACATGGTTTCATTAGGTAATGAGTTCTCGTTAACCAGTTTTCTTTTCCTATGGTTACAATAATTATTAATTGTAGCTGTGTTCAAACAAAAAAACAAAAAAAAAATGCTGTTGCTAATTATATCACAAAACATTTCTAAATGTTTCTTTTTTTAATTTTTGTTCAAATCTTTAATTTGGAATCAATAGGCCATGATATAATAATTACATATATATATATATATATATATATATATATATATATATATATATATATATATATATATGACATAATTATAAATTAAGAATTATTCTTAATGGCTCGAACTTTGATTATTAAGTGTTTGCTTTTAATATTGTTAACATTTATAAGTTATGATTAAATTTTGGAAAACATTCCATTCAGCTTTGCAGTTACAAGAAAACTAATATTTTTTTAGTATAGTATATTTTTAGATTTGATGTGAGTTGCATTTGTTCTGCTTGGGTAAACATTTTAAATTTATTTTTCTATGTATTACTTTTTGAATTGTTAATTATCTTTTCCAAAGTCCTGCAAATTACATATATTGTGACTACTGACAGTGAAAAGTAATGGATTTCATTATTCTAGAGTAGTGAGGGATTTTCATCAAACCCACAAGAAATTGAAGAAAATTTTAAAAAATTTATAGCCAAATAAATAATTTAAGAAGTAGGTGCCTGAACAATTCATATTTTATTTGTATTAGCAATTCTCCTCGTACCTCGATATATATCTTTGATTCTTATTGATTAGTCATTTCCATTCTCGACTCTGAATTTTGGGATGGAATGAAATCTAAAAATTAAAAGTAAAATTATCAATTTACATACAATTACAATAATGTAAAAGGTGAAACCAACTCAATTAAAAATAAATAATTAAAAAGTAGTTATATGCTATGAACGTCATGTCTGTTCGAAGCACTTAATATTGAAATCTTTAAAAATAAATATTTTATTGAAGTTATTGGTCTAATTTTCATTGGAACTTTTAAGACATAACGAAAATCAATATATATTAATTAACATTGTCACAAAACATTTTGATTGCATTTTATCTTCATTTTCACTTCCTTACCTAGGAGAGAGAAGCGATCAGGGAATTTTATTTATTTTAGGTAATAGCTAGGAAATCCGACAGACTCATATAAGCTCCTTGAATCTAAGGACTAGTCTAGTTTATACAGGGGCCTCATAAATCTAAATCCATTAGTGCACTCAATTATAATTTTTATGGATAGGAAAATAAGGGTATTTGATTTTTACTAATTTGTAGATAATTTAGTGAGTGGAAGGAGATCATCGAGAGGAAAAACAAAAAAGGATGATGAATCAGAAGAGAAAACTGAAGAGAAGCCTAAAGTGGAAAGGTATTATATATTACTTATATTATTTTCTTTTGCATTTACAATGAAGTATTATTGTTTGTGTTACTTAATTTTATTTTAAGTTAGTTTTATCTCTTTTAATTTTATTTTATTTATGAAGTAAGTGCAATATCAATTTCAGAGCTATAATGAGAAAGAAAATTATTAATTATACAAATTTGTATCACAAATTCACTTCTTAAAAAAAATCTTGGAATTCCTGAATAAGTAAGATTCCAAAATGCACTTTGTGCAATATTTGTAGTGTAATCTCTCTCATAGTAATTTTGTTATAACTATAGAAATCATTAGATAAAGGCTATAAACCACATTTATGACACTTTTAGAAATTTATTCTCTTTTAGACTGTGCTTTAGGACCACTAACTTTGTTTTTTTACTCCCTGACATAGCCGTATAGAAGGAAGAATGAAAAAGAAGTGTGATTTATTGTCTTCGCGGTAACTGAAAAAAATTTAAATATAAAGGCAATTTCGTTCTTTAATTTTGTATATAGTGGACTTCTTGAAAAAAATAAAATAAAAATTAATGTTTTTTTAGATTTAGGCGAAAAATCGAAAATGTTAAAATTTTTAAGAAAAAAAATCAGAAAGTTTAACTATAATATGTAATATGGCCATCACATGGGTTTGACAACTGCCAAACATGGATCCAAATTTGTTCCTTGATTTCCTTTCTATCCGAGGACAAAAATGTCATATCCTCCTCCTTGAAGAGGGTGTTGAACAATCTAAAAAAATAGGGAAACGATGACGGCCGCTATATCTATCCGATATAGGTTATGACTGTCAATAACGATCCTGTTCGTTATATTGAAATTAAACAAGAATAATGAACAAAGTGGACTTAAAACAGTGCTTTTTTAAAAAGAAAAACATGCCAATACTATTTACTATTTGCAATTTTTTATATAAGGTGTAACAATGAACTTCTCAACGGCAATTTTTTCTCTAGGCAAGCGCTCATTAGAACAATTGGAATTAGTCAACCTTAAATGCTAAATCTGGTCAGGCGTCAACTCGTTAAAAAATTGCGTTTCATTGTGTTGAATTTGTCAGCCTCATGATAATTCTCACGAACTGGCGGTTAAACCTTCGAAAGCCATTCATTGGTTCACTGAAGGAGAACACTGCAAAAAAATTTTAAAAACAATATTATGTTAAGAGCAAAATCTATATTCATCCTTGCGAAATACTAATTTAAGATTCATCTAGAGGTTCGGAATTGATTTAAAGTATTCATTAGCCTTTTCAAGTAAAATCTGACTTTACACTGATATAGACTAGGAGCAACCGACCATTTCATTTAATGGAAGGACTTATAGGTGGTAGCCATTTTAAATTCTAGATAAATATCATCTGAACACACAACTTCGGTCAGTCGGTCAAACGCTGTTGCTTTCTATAAGAATAACGAAGAACAAAAAGTTTTTGCTTGAAAGAAAAATTCTATATATATGTTGCTGACTGGAGAGGGAAGAGTCTAATAGTAGCCTGACTCAAGAATTAAACGTAAAACGTACAATTCAAAAACAGTATCAGAGACTTAAGTATGCATAACAATCATAAAAAAAAAATGTGTTTCGAAGTACGAGCACATTAACACAGTCACACATTAATTATTAATACTAAAAATTACAATTGAAAAATCAGAACTTAAACTGCGAACATCTCTGGAAGTGATAAGTCCAATGCAGGCGTTGTTTAACCATAAACTACAAGTTTCTATTTTTTTATATTTAGTTTTTAACTCTGCAACAACCAGAAATTTAATTTAGAGATATGCAATAGCCGATTAGTAGTATTGTTTCAACAACTCTATTTTACAGATAGTTCAGGAATCGGTTGAGTTGCCTTCTGGTTTTTAACAGTTAAAATGGCAAACGATAGGTATATATATATGATTTAATTTACAGGGATACATTTGCCCAATGTTCAGAATATTATTCTGACCATTAGTTAAATATATTACTGTAAAAAGAACAAAGTTGAAACCTGCATAATGAAAAATTATTTAAATTTTAAAATTATTTTTATTTAAAGCATGTGGCTACAGTTGTAGCAATTCATTGGTTGGCAAGCACTTGTTCATCTGTCCTGTGCTGCTCCTTAAATGAGCATGTTAAATAGCCATTGTGGCTTTATGGGGCTTTTCCTGCATGAAAGGCAGGGGAGATAAAAGCTCTCTCGCTCCTGTCCCCTTCCCCTCCCGGCACCAGGACACAAACATGTAATTATTTTATCAAGTAAACTTGTGTTTATCAAGTTGTCGGAAAACGCTTGTTTTACACAGCGTTAGCCCCCTCAGCCATCCTGCCTCACAGTTAATGTCATATGGATAATTATTACTCTGTTTGTAGCAATAAAGAAACTAAATTGGCTTATGTGGAACTATATTAAAATAAGAATTGCCTGTAGCTCACTTTATTTTATAATAGAGAAAAGCATCTAGTATCAACATCCTTTCAGTTTATGAAAATAAAATAAAGGCGATAAAAATAAATTACTTAAAGTTTAGTAGCCACTCTGTTGACTGTAAAGAAAAAAAATAAGTGTGCATGCATATGTGTAGTTGTTTTTTTCAAACCTAACTGTTTTGTTTTTTTCTAGGCGGTCTGCAACACCTAAGAAGACAGCAACACCTAGGCGCACAAGAAATTGATAAAACTAAAAAATATTAATATAAGAATTTTGTGTAGAATACTGAAATTTATTTTTATTATGTTGATATGATACTGTACCAGTAATCAGTTAAAAACGAATTTTTTGCATTTGTATTTTTAAAAACTTACAAATTTTAACTGTACAAATAAGTTTATGAGAATTATTGTTTACAAAGGTGGTATCCTCATTTTAGTGAACTTTTAAACATATGTATCTTTTTTTTTATTTATATTAGATTGTATATTTTATTTTTTAAGGACATCTGTCTAAAAGGGTGTTATTATGTTTGGGTTTTGTTTTTGTTTTTTTAATTTAAATCTAAAAACTGAGGGCGGTTTTTAGTTTATTAATCTCTGAGATTCTCTTTTTGTAATATTTTAATATTCTATAAATCACATGTTTTATTAATGAAGTATGTTGCAATTGTTAAATTTGATTTTAATTTCTATTTTTTCCCTCTAAAGTATATGTCTGCAACATTCCAATATCAAATTTAGAATAGATTGAAGTCGAAATTGTGAAGTATTTTTGTACCATAAACAAAACAAATTACAGATATGATACTGTTATACTTCTTTTGAATATGTTATATTTATCCTGTTACAAACTTAATTTTTATTTATCCAAAACTAACTCTTCACTTAGATATTTACCGATCTCAGCACTATATGTATATATATATTATACATATATGTGTTTGTGTGTATATATATATACATAAATAATAAATTCATATATATCGATTAGTAATTTTATCCTCTAGTATAATTAATTTGAATGGGAGCAGTGAAATATTAGAGATTAGTTGTAGAAATGTGAAAATGGAAATTAAAGTTGTTATTTTAGATGTCCATGAAATTTTAAAATCTGATGTCTTATTCAATTTTTTTTTGACAAATATTTTACATGTGGGACATCTTTTTTACAACCAAAGTTGATTTGGATGTTAATTCAATATTGTTTTGCTTTTAAAGATGTAAGTTACCTTTTTTTGTTAAGTTAACCCAATGTGGTGGATCATTTGAATATTGAAGAAAAAAAAAAATGAAATATATGTTATATAGTTTTTTGGAAAAACAAACAAATTTACCAGTTTTAAATTAAATGTTCAAAATTTAATAATTTTTTATAAGGTTGTTTATGTCTTATGTTCTGTGTCTTTATTATTTCAATTGCTTCAAATACTTCAAAATATTTTCAATTTTTTCTATAATCTTAAAGCTAGTACAAATTCCTCGTTTCACTTCGTATAGTAAGATCATTATTGAAAATATTTGGGAAACGGAGCACATACCTGGTACCAGTTCAAGCTTAAGTTGACAAAAAAAAAAAATGAAATGAAAAGGTAAAAAATTATCAACTCCTTTTTATATATCTGTAAATTTGTTTCATTTGAACTTCAACTTAATTGTAAATTATATTCAGAGAAATATATCGTTTTTAAGTACCCCATACTACTTTTCATTTAACTTTTTCTATTTTTATCTTATTTTTATAACATTTTTTTTTTTTTTTTTGAGGATTTATTTATTTCAACAATAGAGCTTTTAATAAGCTTCATAAACGTTCTACAATTCTCTAAACATGTAAGTTTTATTAATCATGATTTATTTATCAAAATGAGAAATGTTTTGACATCACAAATGTACTTGTCTAAGCAACAGTTTAGGATTCCTATATGTTGGGAAAATTTGATATATTTTGGGATGTATGAATAATAATAAGGTTTAGCGAACCTGAAGGTTTGATGACCACCAGTCTGTCTACATTCTTCCATCCACTGGTCGCCGTCCTAATCCCACCATATCAGCCTTAACCCAATCCTCCCATCATCTCTTTGGCCTACCCCTTGGATACTTACAAGATGGCACAACATACTTTCTAGGAATTCTTTTGTTCCTAAGCTCTTCAATGTTACAAGCCTAGTTTATTCGCTGCAATATAATCATGTCAATTATATTCACCGGATATAGTTTAAGCAATTTTGGGGGGCCGAATGGGCTAACGTATCTGCACAGCACTGCCGTTGCCTGTTAATCTGATAAATGAGATAAATAATGGATTTGTAAATTCTAATTTTTAAATTTCGGGTCAATAGGAGCAAGCTTAGTAGTTCTGAAACAGAAAAATAGCAAGCATTGCTCACCTTTAACCTATCGTCAACTTCCTTCATCTTCAACTCCGTTTTTCTTGTTATTGTAGATCCAAATTCCCTAAACATCTCTTATATGTTCCAACGTAGTTGCTTCTATATCTCTAAAACCAAAAGTGGCACCATTTCTGCGACCAATAATATATTTTGTCTTGTTTATATTTATTTCGAACCTTACTCACTTTCATCAATATTGTCGTATTTAGTTTTATAGTTCCTATGTTTTGGCTATTTCACTTTACAGTACCAAATCAACAGAATACTCGAACATAGATTTTGTTCCACCCAGATTCAAATCTTTTTTAATATAAATCACCTCTAAAATGGAATGTGCCAAATTAAATAGGACAGATGAAAGGGAATTATTCTCTTTTAAAGTTTAAGGAACCTAAAAATTTTCAGATGAATAATAACCAACTCTAATTTTATTGAATGTTTCAGTCATGCCTTTCCTTACTAGATTTACTATTTTTTTTGGAATCTTGCTCAAATAGGATATAAAGCTTCTTGTGATCAATGGATCCTTTTAAAATCGATATAAAGTTGGTGAACAACACTGTTATGATCTAATTTTTCCTCTTATATTTGCCATAAAGAAAATTTTTGATTAATAGTTGAACGGTTCCGTCTAAATTCACATTGGTTGTATCTGAAAGTGATGATCTTAACAGAACACTAACTTACCCTCTTTTGAATGATTGCTTGATTTCATTTAGTCTTCTGTTTATTATAATACTTGAGTGATTTAGGCCAGGTTGGGTTGTTGACAAACAGAAAGGGACTTAAAAAAAAAGTTGTTAATATTTTTATTATTCATGTATTCTTATTTTTATAAGAAAAATCAAAGAAGCATGTCCTTACTGTTGTAGAGGATTTACTGCTAATGTACTTGGTACAAAAGTGAGTTCTATTTAAAAGTAACATGTGCATATGAATGCTACTTCATTGATTACAACCCTTCAACTAGTGCCGAGCCTACGTCCTAGAATTATGAGCCATTGACCTGATGAATAAATAGTAAAAGCCATGTAGTTTTAAGGGATCAGGAATAGCTGGTTAGTGAATGAGATGGAGTGGTAGATGGCCATGTCTACTTTGAAGGTGTAAAGATGCTGTACCACATAACTACGAACAATTAATTTGAGTTACAAAGTAATGAAACCAGAAAAATGTTTTTGATTTTTCTAAAACTAATTTAGGATCCTCATTCTTTATGTATAAAAGTGAGTTTATTTCAAGAACAGAGTACTCAAATTTATTTTAATTGAACCTAGAATGGTTAGTTATAGATCGACTCCTAACCCGAACATCCAACGATATATATATCCACATATATTTTATTTATGTACAATGGTAAGCTAATTGAAATATAATTGTATCAGTTAAACAGTCCAATATATGTTCTTATTTCAGATTAGAGGTATTACTTATGATTGGTTTTGATTTTGATTTTTCATAACATTTCTCCATACTTGAGCATAGCTAATAAAATATTCTGGGGGAAAGTATGGGAGTGTGTTGCTTGTAGGAAAGAATTAAGTGATCCACAAATGAATAGGTTATTATGAAATAGAAAGACAGAAAGGAATGAAGTTTACATTATCTTTCTTAATAAAAAAACCATTTTTATAAGGAGTTAGGCATTGAGAGTACAATTTCGCACCCATTAAAATGTTCATATCGTAAACAGGGATAAAGTTATGACAACTAGTATGTGTTATCATATTATCAGTCTCATCCTTTTATTATATAATAGATATCATTCAATAGAACAATGAATTTTCTAAAAAAAACATAGTTCTTTTTTTTATTAAATAAATATCTTATATACACTCAAAGAATCCTAAATTTGCATATCACAGTATTTTTTATTATTTAGAAAGAAGTTCCTGTATTTCTTGAAGGCTCTTCCCTGATGTATCTGGTACAATGAAAATTGATAAAATAGTCCATATAATTAGGGTTGCTCCAATTCTGTAACAAAAACTGGCCAATTTAGTTGATTTATCACTATTACACCAAATTAATGTTTAATTAAAATTCTATAAGCAGGTGAAAGTATTACATAATGCTAAATGATATGAAATAGTTGAAATATAGTAGTTATTTTAAGTTTAATTTAGCACTACTAGTACTCTGATTTTGATGAAACTTTCTTGGTTGTTTAAGAAATTTAAATACCTTTGTAACATCTTATCACAATATCAACAAAAAATTGTATACTTTTTGAGTTATTCGGAATCTAATTTTACCATCCCTCATAACTTTTTCCAGCTTCTTTTCATTGAAGTATGTTATATAAACAAATTTAAAGAGTATGAAGAAGAAGACTTTAGCCAAGTTTCATTGAAATTGGTATATTCGTTTAGGTGCTACAGTCTATAGCAACGCAGGTTTTTTGGCCGCCATTTTGAAAGTAAATGGCGGATAGTAATGTCGATGAAGGAGGATCATCCTTGGGTGACCTCTAATTTTAAATCCCTATTTGAAAAGAATCGGTCCAATAGTTTCAAAGAAAATGTGCAGATGGCGGACGGACAAAAAATTTTTATTCGTTTTTCGAATTCTACCTATCTTGAAACGTAAAACCTCAAATTTTGAGAGGAAGGTTGATAATGAAAGGCTTGAGTTGATATAATAAAAGGCTTAGTGAACCGGAAGGTTCGATGCCGACACCACTAATCGCTTATTACACACCTCCCTTCACTGTTCGTCATCCAAACCTAGTCCCATCAGATCAGCTTTAATGCAATCTTCCCAGCTTCACTGCGGTCTACCTCTCGGACATTTACCATTCGGTACGAGAGGGAGTTAAGTTTTTGAATTTTTTTTTCAATTATAATGGTTCATTATTAAAAATAATAAACCAATATAAAAAAAAGATGCTTCAGGAGGTGGCCAGAAAATGCTTCGAATAACTGCTAATCATTTATTCAATACCGGTGTTTTGACTCACGTGATAGGTATTCATTAAGGTGAAATAGGTTGCACAAGCTAGGAACCTCTTGTTACAATGAACTACATATAATCTGGGTCACCACTTGATGTTTTTTCTTACTGACTCTGGGACCATCTTCTTGATTTATGTAACGGCAATCAGCTGCACTTATAATTACACTTATGAAAAATAGCTTTATATTTAATTAATATTATAGGTGTTATTAAACATACCCAAAGAATGAAGTACTGTAGCCATAGGTATCAGAAACAATTGAAAACAATGCAATGAGTGCAAATCCTGTTAAAGCGCTGATACAACCACATATTCCTACACCAATGCCTTTAACGGATGTGGGAAGTATTTCAGCTACTAGGGGCCAAGTAAGTGGTCCTATTCCTACAAATAAATAAAACCTTCGATATACTGTTACAGTTTAACATTTTGTTTAGCCAATAAATTTAAGAGATTTTTATTTATGGATGGATGATGTGGAGGATTGGAGAGGCATTGCTAATGAGGCCAAGGGCTGTAGAGCCTCAGAAAAAGAAGTATGAGTTTTTCTAGTACTGTCAATAATCAAATTGAGCACAGAGTTATTGAAAGTTGGATTATCTGTTTAAAGGAGTATTATTTAGTATATAATATTAACTTTGTGACTAAAATATATATTGGGTATTAAACGTACCAAGACCAGCAAATAAGTAGCCAATAAACAAAATCACCACTGAAATAAAACTGACATTATATAAATCCACTCCATTGTTTATCAAAACGAAATATAAACCAATCAAAGCCTGAAAACAAATTCAAATAAATCAATTAATAATATACCAAGCTAAACATCAGTGATCAGCAAAAATTCATGGTTACAATGTTAATAAATAATTCTATATAGTTGAAATTAATCTCAATATTGCTTTTTATTGTAATATAAAAATAAAAATTAACCGTTACAAAATATAAATTATCTAAAAGGTTGTTAGTTATCCTTTAAAAGATATTTGGTTTAATAATGATAAAATCGTAATGAAACTTATCAGATTTCATTAAATTCAACCAAAGTTAGTGTGGAGGGAATGTTTCAGTGATCGAGAGCTAATTTGGATTTTCGAATATAAGGAAAACATTTCAACATCCTAGGATCATTAAGTAAGTAGCGACTCCTTTAACAGAGCCCACTTTGCCTCTCAAGTTTTATATTTTAGTTGCTTTAATAAAAAAATATTAATCAATCTCAACAACCAACAGGTTCCTGAGAGTGTGGTATGTATTATCACCATATCTATAGCTGTTATTTGTAATTCCAATTCTGTAACCCCCCAAAAAAGTTCATCTTTACAATATTTATATTCTTTTGACAGTATGAATAATATTCAGAATTAAAACACTTACTAAAATTAAAGTATGTACTTACTAAACTAATTCCACAGCCCAATCCAGAAATTATCAGAGCAAGTTTCATGGTCAGACATCTGTTGACGACGACAACTGACACAAAACCAAATACACTTGACAGGGTCATTATCAATGGGGCTACAGTAGCTGGGAAATTAAGGTTTGCATGCTCATATATCTCCTGGCAGTAAGCACTGATTGGATTCATACCAGATAATTGCATTAATAAAACTAAGAAAATTCCAATCCCAATTCCTTTTAATGCTACTCTTGAGCTAATCAATTCCCAGAAGCTAGCAACATTGCCATCTTCTTGAGATACTGCTTTCTGGAACAAGAAAATGTTTTATTTATGTTTCAAGCTATACTTAGTATGGAAAATCATTTACCAGATCACATTTCTGATTTTTTTTAGAAGTTAAATTTCTCAAAAGGAATATTATTCTGACACTTGGCAATGTTTCGCTAATATATGAGTTTTCAGTCTCTACAAAGCTGTTGAAGTGAAATTTACAGTCTTTGTTCAGCATAACAGTTTTCAGTCTTTGAGTAATATAATTAACAGTACATGTTTAATACTACCTTTAATACATATTTAGTACATGAAAAAGTGCTTATAATAAACTGAATAATAATTTTTTTTTTTACTAACTGTATTTTCATTGATCCTTCAGCATAAAGAATACTTTTAGTCCCTTCTCTCTGTGGAACAAATATTTGTTGGTTTTATCCTATAACTCATCCAGATAACAACATATGAGGTCGATTTAAATATGCTTAAAAATTTGAACTTTATTTTTATTGGTTGTGAACAAAATTTGTATGAATATCTGAAATTTTAATTGCCAATAGTTATTAGATTGATTGATATTTATGGTTGGTTAATGCTCCATTCCTATGGGTCTATGATATAACACCTAAGCCTTCCTCAATAATAAAG